TACAGAATTAACTAGTTAACAATGATTGTGCTCAACCTTATGTCACCAATTGGTTTTCCTGAAAACAGATTAATACAGACCTTTACAGTACACAGCCTCTTTCTCTCTTTCATTTTCTGAATGGTTGTCAATAATCAATTTAGTCTGTTGTCTATGATTAATTCGATTCTTAAAGTAAATGTCTAGGCAATATGCTTATCATAGTTCTCAGGTTGTTCAGAAACTATTGGTTGACATCCCAAATTAACTAGAAGATCATTTGCATCTTGTTTTACTTTCTAGCAAATTACGCCTTCCCCTAAACCCATTATTTACCTTCTCCCCCCAAACTCACTATTTGTGTACAAGAAAGAGAAAATGGAAAATGTCTGGACATATGGAAATTAGGTAACAAAGTAAAAAATATTGTCTTCATCCCGATCCCTGCCCTCCACAGTTTTGCTACTTACCAGTATTTATATAGATTACTGGCATCAATCTGCTTTACTCCTCTAATCAATCTAAAAAGCCAGAAATCTCCCTGGATGGGGTATTTTTTCCAACTGGCCTGAGAAGAGTCAGACCCATAAAGTTCATCAAATCATTCAGGAAATGAAATGCAATAAATCAATTATCTAGCTATTATTATGGAAATAGTATTCTATATATTAAAGCTAAATTCAGAAATAGTTGATAAATCTAGAATACATTTCCTTATGTATCATATAATTCAGTTTGTAGCAGTTTTTTGTCTCACTAAAAATGAGATTAATGCAGAATATTAAGGTATCACCTTTAACAGAAATACCAGTTTAGTCCTTTTTTTTTCAGTAGTGCCACAGATCCTATTCTGATTACATGTATGTACACATTCTGTTTTTCTGGAGGCATATGGTTCTTTTTGGAACACGTGAACCCCAACTCTGTTTTAAACTAAATGAATCTACATCATATAACACAGTCTATCTAAAAGCAGGGATGCAAGAGCCTAGATGTTCTCTCTGTATTCACAGAAATGCTTGTTTATATACTAGAAATGTCTTTTATGAGTGACTGTTGCCTTGGAAACCACTACTAAAAATGAAAATTTTGTCTGCGTGGAAAAAACCCATACTATTCAGTTACCCCAAAATTTACCTTATCTTTTCCTGATCAATCTGAAAGACAATGATTGACTGTCAGATGTTCCTAGCTCTTAATTCCTCCTTCCTATTCTAAAATTTTATCTTGGTGTAAGTTTTGAAATTCCCGATAACAAACAGAAGCCAATCTCTTACTTCCTACCAACCCTCTTATCAAAAATACATTTGCATCCTTTATCTTAATAGGTTGGAGGACAATAAAAAAAGCCCTTAATGGAAGTCAGGAAGCTGTTTTCTGAGATGTCACTTTTCACATGTACTGTTTTAAAGCATTCAACAGCTCTTTAACCAGTAGTGTCACAGTCTGAAATTCTTGGGAAACAATGATCTTAAACTGTGTTATTTTGGGGCATCTGTCAGGTCTTCCATCAGTACTTAACTAGTGTTTCACTGTGAGCACAGAATGTAGTCATTTTCTAGGTGGTTTCCTTTCCAGATTTTCCCTACCAGTTTTACTGCTGTTCCTAGACTTTGATTCCTGATTTTTGCCCTGCGTGTGGGAGGATGTGCCATGAGAAAGATCTATTCTAAACCATCAAGTAAAGATGAAGATACATATGTTGAATGACAACAGGAAGACAAAGCAAAAGATGTCAATCATCTGACTCAATGCTGTGCCTGCTCAGATATAAATTCACAAGGTACAAGGGTATTTCGGCTTATTTTTGGGAGAATGCAACCTGTTTTGTCATAGTTTGTCTTTTTCGTCAATTTTTATGTCTGGGAATATATTCACACAATATTGACACAGCATCACAGATACAGAATTCTATTTTTTGGCTTAGACCATCTTGTAGCTCATTTCCAAAGAGAGCACACAGTTGTACCATTCTATTTCTCACACCAGGACTAAGACAAAAAGGGGAATAAAAATTAGTTTCCTCTGAGCACTGACGGTGGTGTACTGGGAGATGTGAACCTAAAAATACTACTATTCAATATGCAGACCCACTCTAGGGGTTTCTTGTAGCTACAGATACTGGGCTGTTATCATGAAAAATCTCTGTGGAGAAGAAACATGAATTCTAAAATCACCAGAACCTTTGTAAGAGCACTGAGGGTTTAACCTTCCTATGGCAAAAGCACAATATGGAACTAAATAGATAACACAAAAAACTCTAGTTAAATACACATGGCCTGCTGTTGGGAAGATGTTCACGATGAGGAGAAAGGTCAATGACACAGTGATGGTCAGTGAAAGCTGAAAGGAGACGTGACATCCAGTGTGGGCTTCTATTCTCTTCCATTACCATGAAAGACTGCTTAAGGGGTGAAAGTCTTCACCAAGTCCTCCACAGCCACTGTGACAAACGCTTCCTTCTTCCTCTCCCCGCCCTCTTTTGGTCATAATTGTGCTGTGTTCCTTCAAAAAGTGACAGGGCTATTCGACTCCCTACAGAGCATTCCTACAGAGAACACCTACTGGGCCTGCTCAAGGGGAACAAGACCCAGAGGATGGAGCACATGGCAGACAAGACCATCCCACAGAAAACCTGGCTATCACCAGATCATAGAGAGTGACTGCAACACAGACCAGGGATGCAGCAGTCAGTCTACCCTCAGGACCAGAGGTGACAGAAGAGGATTGGGCAGACTCAGCCACAGTGATCGAAACAATCTGCAAGGATTTGCAAGGACAGAGGGAGCTGGAATTGAAAGAATGAATGATTTAAAATGCTTTTTGTTCTGTTTTGCCTGACTCTGTTGCTTTGAATTCTTCCCATTTACAAAGTTTCTAGTTCATATTATAATGACACATAGCATCTTCCCACTGGAGTTTCAAAGCTTGTTGATCTTCTTTGTGGAGTTTACAGTCAAAGCAGATTCACCTTAAATGCATGGCTGACACAGGATCCTGCAACTGGCCATCAGCCTCTGTAATGTCTCCTCCTTATCTGCAGTATCCTGATGGACATGTTATAGATACCTGCTCAGTATGATTTTCTGGTACAACATGTGGCTGCAACCTTGGAGGACTGGAGCAATGGCTCTGAGGTATCCCACCTACAACTGCCTCAGACTCTCACACTAGTCAGCTAGGTGAACTGACAGGAAAATAGTGAGCATTTCATCAAAGCCTGTCCTATGTTTCAAGAAAGTCCCTCAACACAGATACACTGCCATGAAATACTCCTTCTTCACAACACTGCATTTCCTGATTAAAGGAAGCTCTGGCTATGATGAGAAAGGCAGGCACTAACCCCTCTGAAAAACTCTATGTTCAGTACTGGTATCCGGTAGAAATTTACAGCATAAATAATAGCTGAAAGCCTCAAATTATCATTTGGTGCTTTTTCTGAACCTAATTCCAGTGCTTTCCACCAGCTGAGCCGATTAGCCCGTGATCAGTGCTGAGCAATGTAACTTAACTTGCCTGTCACTGGGGACATTTGCTGCCAACTGAGCACGCTCATATGGACAATTAGCCATGATCCGCTAACATGGGATAACTTGTGAAGCTGCAGTAATGTTTATTTTTCCTTTCGAGCCTTATACTAAGAAGCAGTGTGAAGCAAAAGAGGTCTTGAAAACTACATGAGGGAAATCTGCCTTATAAAGGAAAAAAAAAAGATTTTTTTTGCCGTCCCCAATTAATATTGCATATTAATACTGATAGAACACCTTGCAAAGTGACTTGTTCAGCTCTAGTCAGCTTGTAGTTCTGTGTAGACCTTGTTCTAAGAAGTGGAATTTACAGTCAAATTTTCAGAACATCCCTATTTTAAGCTTAAGCTTAAAAAAAAAAAATAAAAATAATAATAATAAATAAAAAAAAAAAATATATATATATATATAAAGGTCTGTAATCCCATTACAATTTTGAATACACCAGAGTACTACAATACAGTTAAATTAGATGAGTTCCTCATTTTGGCCATATATCACTTTTTAACGTGAAATAGAACAAAAGGTTGAAATAAATTATTTAACGCTAATTTGTTATCTCTATTAGAATTCTGACATTGTGCCCTATCATGGGAACATACAAATTCTGTGCATTTTGTGAGAGTACTAATGAGAATGCACTCTAGCTCTGAAATAAGTTTAGTTTCAATGATAGATATGAAAGTTACTTGAAATCAGCTTGTAATTAGCTAAGATTCTTAATGTGGTAATACTCATAACAGGAATGTAACTGAACATTTTGATATAGAGAAGAATTACTGTATCCAAACTTGTAATTTTATTAGCACCAACACACTCCTTCCCCTGCTTGCTTCATACTGTAGGTGCGATCTACCTTCTTCTTCCAAGTCAAATTTCAACAACTTTCTCCACGTTCAAGACTTTTTCACTTCAGTGGGGCCTCTCCACAACACCACAAACAAAAAACACCCCCCAGCACCATTTTCCACTATAAAAAATTCCTTATGTGATGCAAGTAATTTAAGTATTAAACCCTGAGAGAAAGGTCCTACATACCATGTTAGAAGGTGATCTTGAGAGAAACAAAATGAAAATTTTGATTTATGAATACAAGGCTTGACACCATGCTTCCAAGAGTGGAATTAAGTGAGATTCTCTCCTCCCCCATCCCCCTTTTAAAAACATATCTTTGTAAATAAACACAAGCTAGCAGAAGGGGAAACAACGTAGAGCAAAAACCCCAACCAACAAAACTCAAACAAGAATGTAAATGCTCTCTCAGTTATACTTGCACATTTGCTTAAAAACCCTTTTGCCAAAGTTTATTATACAGCCCTTACACAGCCAAAAAGCAAAACAACTTAAGCACATTGGCAGTGCTATTAAACCACACAGACTGAGAATGGAACAAAGCCAATTCAAACTACTATTCTGATGGCATAGACAAATCTGAAAGTGGAATAAAAGAGGCACAGGGCAATCAACTGTTCAAATTAGATAAGACAAACTTACGCTTGTTGTGTAAGCAGCTTCAGGATCGTCCTCTAACACTCGTGACAAACCAAAATCAGAGACTTTGCACATGAGATTACTGTTGACCAAGATATTACGGGCTGCCAGATCACGGTGTACGTAGCCCATGTCTGAGAGGTACTTCATGCCAGATGCAATCCCTCGTAGCATGCCAACCAGCTGGATGACTGTGAAGTGGCCATCATGCTTCTGCAAGTAAAGATGAAAGTTCAAAGAATAAAGCTACTTTTTATTAATTTTGTACTAGCGATATTAACTACAGCTCATATTTAAAATACATTTGCAACCCATCCAGACAACCTGCCTGCTGCAAGCTTGTTTCTTCAAGTATTTAACTTGGTCAGCAGTGCAAGCTATCCCATCTCTCATTGTGCAGTTTATCCCCCTTCCACATTTTCTCACGCTCCACAATATTTCTACTGACAGCATTTAATGTCTTTTATCCTCAGTTACTAAGAATGCTCTCCCCAAACACACAGCAAAAATCCTCTCTTGCATCATGACCTGGGAAACAAAGCCCCCTCTTTTTATTACCTCAGCCTAGACTGCATGAGGTACTGCCATTACCTCACTTACTGCTTTTTTTTTTTTTTGGCAGTGGTGGGGGTGTTTGTTTAAAAAAATCCCAAACCTGGAAAAAGTTTGGTGCTTTACTTCATGTCTGTTCTGCACCTAACATCACATAATCTCTCAGCACTAGTTTCAAAAGGAGATATGGGCTGAAATTCAGGGGTCATGTAGCTTTTGCAAAGTCTTTCTGGCTGACTAAGCCTGTTAAACTCAGGCCCATGAATGTATTAAGCTGCTTAACTCCTGCTGAAATCTTTTGAAGTTGAACATGTAAATAAGAGTTATGTTGTTAACCGCGCTTGTTCATCTGAGCAGTCTTGGTAGACCTCAGTTTCCTATCTGCAACATTAAATTTAACACTTCCATACCTCCTACATCAGGAGGCTCCTTGAATTATGTGGCAGTGGGGACCTAGGGAGTACCTGTACAGAAAACAGATTATGGGCTCTGCCTGCCCTATCTACCATTTACAGCAGACTGCTTACAGCAGTATTTTTGTGACCTCAGCAAGGAGACATTTAGCTTCTCATGGATTATTCAGTGAGCCAGGCTTTTATGTTAGCAGGAACAGCCAAACAAAACCAAACAACACTTTCCTGCAAGCAGGTTAACTTCCCATTTTCTGTTTCAAAACCTTCAGCATTGGGCTACAGACAAATAGCAGTGTTCTGATCAGCACTCAGGACTCTTCTATTGCTTAGTTCATATGTTTAAACAAGATGATTTTTGTAGGGGAGAAGTTTATGGTAAGTTGAGTAAATTCACTAGATTCAGCAAAGCAACAGTCCAAACTGTACATATATGCTTAACTTTACCCCCGATCAGCAAAATATTTCAGTATTTCCATTGTGATTCTATTACTTGGGGCCTATATCTATAGCTAATCAGGATATAAACATTTAAAGAAATACAGAATTAGTACAGATGTAATTAAGGTTACCAAAACCCCCATGAATAAACAATCCCCAAAAACCTAGACATGGAAAAGTTAGTTCTGCAGATGACACTCAGCTGAGGGTCAAGACACAAATGTGACCAGACATTTTACAGAAGGACATACCCTATTATATGCCTATGGCATTCCCTATCACAGGCTCCTACCATAAGTATAAGGGGAGCCTCTCAGAGTCCAAAACATGCCAGTGACAGATATTTAAAAAAAACAAAAACCAACCTCTCCATCTAGCAATTAAGCAAAGAGAGAGAAAAAAATAATATTCTTAAATACTTTAAGCCTATTCTAACAAAGGAAGGACATGAACCCTATCCAATGTTTTATGTAACGAAGCCACACAGGATTCTGTGTTTCCTTTTGATTTAATAATTCTAAGTGTTCAAGTGACTCACAATTTATTAAGCTGCTTGAAAACAGTCAGTACTCTTCACACCCTTTATGGATAACTTTTTTTAGCTTACTGTAGAATTAGGATTTGGAACAAAGCACCTATAACTTAGTTTTGCAAAATAACTGCCCCTGCAATAAAGTAGCAAACAGAACCAACCCCCCAAACATCTAGATTTTACTTTCACCTTATCATCGTTAACAGCTCCATTCTTTCAACAAGCCTCAGAATCATCTGCAACACCTTCCTTAACCTTTTGTCCCCTTGGATCACAAGCATTAATTCCTTCCTTTTTTAATTTGTGCTCTTTCAAATCTAGATCATGCTTGACTGATTTTTCATTAAAAAATAACCTTTTTCTGCTTTTTCCAAATCTCAGATTTGTCTTTTCAGTATAGCAGAAATGCCTGAGTTAAAAACAATCTCATGCTTTTGCCATTCTCTCCCTCTTTCAAATTTCTTTGTGCTTCTGCCTTGACACAAAAAGTTCAAGCTTCTTATGTCCACCTTTAAAGAAATGACAGACTTGCTAACATAGCAGCTGCAATTTTATTCTGTTCTCCTTCTCCCTCTGTATATTTATCTGAATCCTCTTCTGCATTTGCACTCCTCCATCCCTTCTCATGCTTGGTTTTCGTATTTTTTCATTGCCAGCCTTGCAGTTGGAACAACTACATTTTTCCTGTCAGCAAAGCAGTCTTCTCTCTCTCTCAAGTCTCTCTGTAATCATTCTGCATCAGTTTCCATGCCAGTTGTATTCCCTTAAATCTATCAACTGTTATCTTCCTATATATCAAAATATTTGTCTGATTTAAGCTGATCAAGACAGAGAATATAGGCCATATTTAATCCTTGGAAAAGTCAACTAAGCTGATGAAATTAGTTATGAATCTGGCCTCATACTTTCAGCATTTGTGAATCCCCATGTACATCTGTGAGTTAAACCAATCCTTTGGCAACTTTCCATTGTCTCATTTCATTCTCTTGTCATATAGGGACCTAAAACACTCATCTGAATGATATGGCAGTTGTTATCCAGGGCTTTATTTTGATTCCCATAGCTTAGATTTGAAATACGCTTTTGATAGGATTCCCACTGGGGTGTTAAGGGTGTTAATCAATACTGGCAGCAGTTCAGACCTCAGTGGACTTACTGCATTTATCGTATCATCCCATCAAATTTTAATCAGGCTTTAACAGTGTTGCTAAATAAACTTTTCTCAACAGCTGAGTATAGATGCAATATCTGAGTAGTTTCCAGTGCATTTATGCAGCCTTGCAAATTTCCTGAAAAAAAATGTTTTTTTTTCATTCAGGTACTGTTTGCTTTTGAAAACCTTAAGTACACAAAATATTCTCCTCCTGTTACATACCTTTCAATAGCACTGACGTATAATGGGTCAGTTAAGAGGGTCAGTTACTACAGGGGAGGAAGGATGGTATCCTGAGTTTCATTGCTCTTCACCCTCTAGTTCCAGCTCCAGTGTGCACTATTTCAGTGCTTTTTTACAAGCTCATGGAATTTTTCTTCTTCAGATTTCTTCTATTTTACTACTGAGTAACCTTTTGGAGGCATGGTCATTGAATTTTTCTGTATTGTCTCTGGACTTTTGTCTATTCTCAAATCCACTTCTTTATTTGCCCTATAAATCAGCACATTTTTATGCCCTCATATTCTGAGAAGCATACAGGATTTGCTGCAGGTCTAAATACTTTACCGCAGATGATTCAGATCTTATTTTAGATGGAGAACAGCACTGAAAATGGTGTGTCTATGTCTGACATAGATCATATTCACTAGTGACAGTTCGTACTGGTCATGACATGAAAGATGTAGTTTTTGCTATACATTTATTGTTAGTATTTTATGATGCAAAGTAAATAGTAGAATTTTATTAGGATAAATCTTCCAAAATTCAAGTTGCAACTTACTATTTCCTAGAAGTATAACTTATGCTTCATATTATCATGTTTATATGCTTATATTACTGGTACTGAATGAGGTCAACTGTTTTACTTATTCAGCTACAGCAACAAAAAAGGGATGCCCTGAAATAACCATGTGTCCCCACCCACTTTGGTGCTCTGGTATGTAGCTATGACAGAATCACAGAGCTGGAAGGTACTTTGAAGTGGGATAATTTCCTCACCCTGTGTCAGTCCTGACATGCTTTTCTAACCTGTACTTAAAGACCATTGGGGCAAATATTTCTTACCCTACCCACTCTGCACCACATCTGAAATAAGATGCCCACTTAAATAAGATGCCTCCCTTGAGCATGGTACTTTGACTAGTACAGATTTCAATTCCTCTTTGCAACTGCTTTTTATGCCCTTGAAGACTAAATATCTCTCTTGCCCCTTTCTTTGGGCTTAACACAGGTTCAGTCCACAGATCTCATTTGCTCAGCAATTATTATTTTTGATTTTGTTGTGGACTCTGCCCACCCACTTCATAAGTTCCTGAAGCATTAAGGTCCAAACAAGACACAGTACTCTGAGTCCTTGTCAGTGTGAAGCAGAGAGCAAAAGTTCACAGATCTTGCAGGAGATACTCCAGTTTCTAGAAACCATTGTGGTATTTGTCATATTCAGAGCAATGTGATTCCCCTGACCTAGTGCAACCTCTAGAGTGATTTCTTCCAGTAGACTTCTTTCTGAAGAGTTATTCTCTGTCCTCTACTCTATTGCTGATTATTCCATCCTTAGCAGAGTATCATGCCCTTGTCCTTACTTATTACTAATTAGTTTTTAAAAGTACTTAGTTACTAAATTATTTCTTAAATTTGTTGTGATGATTTTAAATTCTAGCTCTGTCATGCTGTCTGCCCATGCACCTACTCATCTTTGCTTTGCCTGAAAATTTTGCAAGTTTAGTTGCAGTGTCAGGATCCAGAAGGTGAATGAAAATCTGGGGAAATACAAGACTGCAGAACAGCACTAATTCATGTATCTTTCCATCCAAAGCCCATTCTCTCCATACAGTAGGTAACCAGTATAGTGTCCACCAGCAGAAGCTTCATGAAGACCACATTTCTCTAGCTGCTCGTAAGGATTCTCATGTGAGAATTTTAAAGCATTACTAAAGTCAAGATTTATATCAACTGCTTCTCCCATACCCACAAAGCCTGTGCCCTGTTACAAAAGGAAACTAGACTGTTTGACATAATTTGTTCTTGACAAATCCACGTTGGCTCATACTTATCTCACTGTTATCTTTAAGGTGCTTATAAATACCGTTTTGATAATTTGTTCCAGAAATGTTACAGCAGTTGA